ATAAATATTAATCTGACGGTTTGCGTGGTGGGGTTAGCTGTAGGAAGGGGTCAAAAAATCTTTTTTTTGCAACTTTGTGACTCTCCCATTTCCTTACGTCACGCTGAAATCGTCAGATTATTGAAATGTACACTTTTCTACATATAATTAACACACCATATCTTAATTTGACGCGCTCGAGTTAGATACTAATTTGACGGGCTCCCCTGGACCCCCGGCTCTATATAGAGGTTTAATATGTGGTGGGGGTACTTATTAGGGTGCAAGCTTTCCTCCTTTATGTTATTCTGACGCGCTCGAATAAATCCCAAAATCCCCGCTTGGCCTCCCCTACTACTTGGATTTGGCAGTGGGCCGGGCGAATTTGGATATTTTTATAAATAAATATCTCGTTAACTATTGCGAAAATTGAAAAATGGTAGAAGACGTTCCGTCTCAGTTTAATCCGCTCTACCTGTCCATGATATTTGTCAGGAGAGTTATGAGACACCCTGTATATATGTATATATATATTGTTAATAGTATTTTTAATACCGAAAATAAGTGATTAATTATATAAATACGATGTCACATAAGTATATATATACATATAAAATAATTTATAAATAATTTGAAAAGATAATATAAAATGACAAAACACTATGAATAAATCAATCACAATATAAGAAAGAAGCATAACTAGTTATTGTTGGGATCAATGTTTATAAAATTCTTATATAAAATAATAACAAAATACACAAATTGACACGCCATCGAAACGTAAGGAACAAAATTTAATCATATATTGTATAACGACGCTAATTATCAGATGTTACTTTCAATGTTATGTTTAATATGTAATTTAACTGTAATTTTAAATACTGAGGATGATCTAATTTAAAGGACGAAATGTTTATTTTGTTATTATTTTATATGATAAAAATTTTATAAGGATTGATTGCAACAATAAGTAGCGTTGGTTCTTTCTTATATTAAAAAAGAAAATAGCTATGTAAAATCAATTTTTAATAATTGATGGGCAAAATGTTATTAATAAATATTTTAAT